AAGAAATGAATTAGTACATGCCAGTAATCTTAGCACCTGGGAGACTGAGGCAGGAGAATTACAAGTTAAAAGCTAGCTTGGGATACAAAGGAGACTTTGTCTCAAAAAAAAGTTAACTTGAAATCAGTATGGAGGTACCTCAAAGGACTACACATAGAGTTCCCTATGACCCAGCAATCCCACTTCTGAGTATTTACCCAAATGATCACAAATAAGGACACACTAAAGCTGCCAGCATAACTATGTTTATCACTGCATTATTTACCATAGCTAAGATACGGAACCAACCCAGATAACCCTCAGTCGATGAATGGATCAAGAAAATGTGGTCTGTACATATAAAATGGAATTCTATGCTTCCATCAGAAAGAATGACACCACCCCACTTGTAAGGAAGTGGAATGACTTGGAAAAATGTTAAGTGAAATAAGTCAGCTCCAAAGAAACTCCAATGATCTCCCTTATTTGCAATAATTAGTATACATCTAGGATAATCTTAGCAGATGAGCAGAATAGCTCAATAGCTATGTACATCTGACCATATATGATGATGCTAAGCAAAATGAACTCCACAACATGGACACAAGAGGTTTTTCTTTGTTGCTGTTCTCAATGTGATTTCTTTTTTCTTTTGTGTTTTCTCCCCTGTTTTATCCCCTGTTGTCACTGTATTCAATTTTGGTACTCTGGGTACTCTGAACTAGGGAAGGGAAAGGGAAAAACAAAATGGTGAGACAAAGGATAAAGGGGAAACCTATGCAACAGTGATACTCAAAAGACACTATGTTGGAAATGATCTGTACAACTTGGGGGGGATTGGGGGGCAGGGAAGGAGGGAGAAAAACGAGGAAAGGGGTAACAAGTTAGACAAGAAATGTAGTCACTACCTTACTTATGTAACTGTAATCCCCTCTATACATTACCTTAACAAAATTTTTAAAAAGTTAAATAAAAGAAAGAGAAATACATATTTTATAGCTTATTATTATTATTATTAGTGCAAGTATTGGACTTGAACTCAGGATCTGGGTGCTGTCCTTAGCTTTTTCACTTAGGGCCGAACCACAGCTCTACATCTGGATTTTTGCTGGCTAGTTGGAGATAAGAGTTTCACAGACTTTTCTGCTGGGCTGGTTCTGAACCATGATTCTCAGATCTCAGCCTCCTGAGTAGCTACGATTAAAGGTGTAAAACCACTGGTGCTTGGCAGTACAGCATATTATAATGACTAGATACCTGGTTAGTCAATTTCAGGAGCTCCAGTATTACTGCCAGTGAATTTAATTATGTAGCGCTTACCTACAGAGGTGTCACGTGAAGTTCTCCCTAACATTTGTTGACTTACGGACTGGAAGGTGTCTGTATTACTATTTTAGAAAGGATTCTTTTTAGACGCAGAAAAATTAAATGACTTGTGTGAGTTTCCCAACCAGTTGATAGAGGAACCAAATATAGAAACCTTTCTAGTGAATACAAACTCACTAAGATTCCTAACTGGAGTTCTGGGCACTCCCTTAGCAACCTTCAGCCTAGGCTGAGGGACAAGCAGGCCATGCTAACCAGAAATGCTTCTGTGGATGGGAGGGGCGGATGGAGGTGGAGGAAGGGCTAAGATGGCTGTTTCTAGGTCATTTCCAGCCCTGCCATGATAGCAGTGATTTAGGCAGTGGAAGAGAGTATGTTTAGTAGAGTGAAAGTGTGCGCTTGGAAATAAAGCAAGGGAGACTCAGCAAGGTTCTGCTTCTTAGATAAACCAGCGTGCCCAAAGGGACTTGTGGCTGTTGGGTTCTGGGATAGGGAAGTGAGTGGTCCTTGGAAAATGAAAGTGTGTTGTTAATTCGGCTTTAAAAAGTCATTGAGTAGAATAATAGCCAGTGTCTCTCTGTTGTAATCTATTTATGGACATACTGATGTAATCAAGTACAGGTAATAGAACTGTTCTCTTTATCTCTGCTTGAAACCCCACTTGGAATGTACTACTAATTCCTATATGCTAAGAAAAGCAGCAACATCACCCTACTGGAAGTATTTTGGAGAACTGCATTCTTTCCTCATTTCCTTTCATTTATCTCTCTTCCCCTCCCTCCCTCCCTCCCTCCCTCCCTCCCTCCCTCCCTCCCTCCCTCTCTCCCTCCCTTCATCCCTCCCTCCCTCCCTTCCTTCCTTCCTCCCTCCCTTCCTTCCTTCCTCCCTCCCTCCCTCCCTCCCTCCTTTCCTTCCTTCCTTCCTTCCTTCCTTCCTTCCTTCCTTCCTTCCTTCCTTCCTTCCTTCCTTCCTTCCTTCCTTCCTTCCTTCCTTCTTTCCTTGCTAACATGCTGGTCCTGGGGCTTGAACTCAGGGCCTGGGTGCTATTCCTGAGCTTTTTTGCTCCAGGCTAGCCCTCTACCATTTGAGCCATAGCTCCACTTCTAGCTATTTGGTATTAATTGGAGATCTATGTGCATCTAACCATATAAAGTAGTATTTATTGAAATGAACTCTAGGAAATGGAAATGAGGGTTTTTATTATTCTTCATCATTATTTTTGTTTTAATTTCCTTTCGTCTTGTTTATCTGTTTTTGAGAGGGTATGGGGAGGCATAGAAATGACGAGATAAAGGGTGAACAAATGCAACAGTGATACTTACTAGACACTATGTTGAAAACAAACTATACAGCTCATAGGTGGGGATGGGGACAGGAGGGAAAAACTGGGAGAGAGTGAGGGAAGGGGTGACATTGTTCAAAAAGAAATGAACTCTTTATCTGACTTATATAATTGTAGCCCTTCTGTATATCACCTTTACAATACCAATAAATAAAATTTTAAAAAAGAGTCTCACAGACTTTCCTGCCCAGGATGACTTCAAACCATGATCCTCAGATTTCAGCCTCCTGTCCAGCTAGGATTATAGGCTTAAGCCACCTGCATTCTTCTGGACATTGCATTCTTAGCATAACTTGGCAGATTCTTGTCTCTCTCCCTTTTCTATCCAAACTTGTTTCAATGGACTGACCTTTGGTACAGCTTTTTATAATTGAACGTTTTCTGATTTTTCTTTTAAATGGGATGGCCTTTTTTTGGCTAAGTATTTAAGTATTTATGAAAGTTTCCTTGATGAAAAGCCTGTGAAATTTGTGCAGCTAACTCAGGCATGTTGTTAGATTAGTGATAACATTTGTCAAAGACTTTTATGGCTTTATAGTATACTTTCTTGCTCAGCTCAGCCTATTTGACCCGTACTTGGTGTGTTCTCTGTGGGCTGTGGGATTCACAGTTTGCTGATGGAGTGAAGAAGAGCAGGGTTCTTTGGCGTGGTTCTAAGCATGCCTTCCAGTCTCTCGGTAGGTTCATTTTAAAGGGAAATTAGTCAAGAGAACCCAATGGGCTATTTAACTTCTCAAGGTCACTCAGCAAGTATGGGGTCATTCCCAAGAACTGAACTTGCTTTATTATTCAGAAATTCCACACACTTGGAATTTTCTTACTGTTATCCTGCCAAGATTTTTAAAAGGCCAAATTAATCACACTCAGTTTTCTTAACTGAGCTGAAATACACTTAACATCAAATTAACCATCTTCAGTGTACATTCACAGTATTCTAAATTGCTCACATCTATTTAGCTTCAAAATCTTTTCATTGTTCCTAAGGGAGACCCCATTCATTGTCCATTAGGGTCACTCTACCCATCCTCTGTGTTTCCCCAGCTGCTGGTAGCTGCCAATCTTTTTTTCTGTCCCCCTGAATTTACCTGGTCTGGATTTTTGACATAAATGGACTCACATTACACAACTTTTTCATCTGTTGTCTGAAACTTAGCATAATATTTCTGTGCATTCTAGTGTGTCAGAAGTTTCTTTTTTTTTGTTGTTTTTTTTAAGTCCAAGACTGGAACTTGAACTTGGTACCTCACACTTTCACTCATTGGCTAGTACTTTACAACTGAGCTATATCTCCAACTCTGAAGTTTATTTCTTTGTATGGAGGACTACTAGTCCATTGTATGGATAGACATGTTTTGTTTATCCATTCATTAATCAGTAGACATCTGGATTGGTCCATCTTTTGGCCATGGTGATTAGGAATGCTGTAAATATTTGAACGCATCTATTTGAATGTTTCTTTTCTGTTCTTGGGGGGGGGTATGTACATTGTTAATAGAATTTTTAGATCATGTGGTAATCCTGTGTTTACCTTTCTGAGGAACCATTGGACTGTGTTATTATGACTATACCATTCCTATCAATAATGTACAAAGGATCTCATTTCCCTATGTCCTTGTCAATTTGTGGTATTTTAATTTTTTATTGCAATCATTTTCATGGATATAAAGTATTATTTCTCGGAGGTCTTGATTTGCCTTCCATAATGAAATACATTTTATTACATAGTGTTTTAATCAGAAAATGAACTTGGATGAGACAAAATCAACAGAATGCTGCTAATATCTGTCTTGAGGGGATTAAGGTTGGCATACACTTACTCCTAAGGCATGAGACTTAAGGGTACAAAGATGGGCTGTGTTCTTTTGGAAACCACAGTTATCTCCTGAGTTTGCTTTTTTCTGAAGTACAAACATTTGAACTTGGATCTTACACTTATTAGACAGGTGTTCTACCAGTGAAGCCATGTCCCAGCTCTGAAAACAAATCTTTTCAGTTAATAATGAAAACTAAATACCTATATTCTGTTTTACTTTTATGGCACTTGTCAGAAGATACTTAGTTTTTGCTGAGCTTGGTTGTACATGGCAATAATCCCAGCCACCTGGGAGCCTTGAGTAGGAGAATTGAGGACTGAGCCATTTGGAGCAAAAGCAAGGACTTATCTGAAAAAGAACTAAAGCAAAAAGGACTGGAGTTGTCGATCAAAATATAAAGGCCCTGCCTAACAAGAACTTAGCCTTGAGTTTAAATCCTTGTATGGACCAAACAAACAAACACTAAAAAGATGCTTAGATCTTTGTATTTCAAAGCTATGTAAAAAAATGACTTGATAGTATATTCCTTTCTGTTTCAGAATAAAGAAGACGCTCAGTCAGGATGGCCCAGGGATCCGGGGATCAAAGAGCGGTTGGGATCGCTGACCCAGAAGACAGTTCTCCCAACATGATTGTCTACTGCAAGGTAAGATTTCTCCTCAGATGCTAGGTGTGCCCTGGGGTGATGCGCACTGAGTCAGGCCCAGACATGTTTTCTCTAAATGCTTTGATTAACATGAGCATTTTCTCATTACTCTCTGGTTGGCCAATTCTAAGATCCAAAGAAATTAGGTTTGGTTATACTAGAAAACTTGGTACTGAGAGCTTGAAATGTTTTATGCCATTAGGTTCTGTGTAAGCCTGCAGCTTGCTTGAGCAGTGCCGTAGGGAATGCATTCTCCTTCAGCGTAAAGGCTTTCACAATACAGTGCAAGGAAAGTTCATTGAACACATCAGATGCACAAGATACAGGCTTGATGCTGAGCAGAGACAGAGGCATCTCTGTATGCTATGCTTGTAGTTGGTTAGGAGGTAGAAGATACTCAAAAATAGCTGCAATCGAGCTGGAGAGTGTTGATTTCCAAACAGAGGCATCACATAGCCTTAGAAGGGGAGTTTGGGGGTTCAGAGGTCCTAGTGACTTGGGCAGCAGTGGCCTTGGACTTGGTTTGAAAGGATGTATCTGGAGAGCAGAGGGCAAGACCTCTATTCCAAGTGATGAAATCAATCCAGCAAAAGCACTGAGACTGAGCTAGGAAGGAGAACAGCCCCTAGAGTCCATTGGTGCAGGCATACAATGAGTTACATGAAATTGGTTAGTACAGGTAAGACTATGGGAGGAGAAACTGCATGCAGCCGGATAAGAATATTCAATCATAGACATTTTCTTCATGAAAAACTTAAGACGTGTAAAATCAGTATCTGTTTGAGATTAGGAGATTTTCCCCAGATTGTCAGATGGTTTGGTGTACGATGGGACAGAGCTACTGGGAGAAGGAGGGCACTAGAGGGAGTGATGGGTCTAAATTAATAATGATTGAAAAACGAATGACGGGAATTAGGAGGCAAGTTGGGGGCCAAAGATGACTAGGGTTTTGACGTTGGGTTATTAAAAGACATTATCATTGTAATTCAAATAGCATCATTTTGAAGAAGAATGCTTTCAAGGAAGGAAACAGGGCACATGAATTTATTTTTGCATACATGGATATTGAGGTAGTAATTATATTGCATGCTCATGAAAAATTAACCTAATGATGTTACCTATTAATAAGGAACAGGGTTAATGTTTGTTCATTTCACTAAGTGTTTGACTTCTCTGCTGATTTGGTACATTCTGCAACCCTGGGTTCAGTGTATGTTAATTACAATGATGGTATTGAATGGCATATTGTGAATGATCAATCATGTTGTTTTTCTCTTTTCTTTGTAAATATAGAACTCTTACATTATTCTTGCTTTGAGTCTAACACTATAATTTTTTTGCTTTGTAAAAGAATGATGAGATAGCCTATTACTGAATGATGCTTATTAATTGTAGTAACGAGGCTAGTCAATTGATGAACCATATAGAGTAACAGATAACACTTACTCATCACCATTTCACATCACACTGGAAAACCCTGTGGCAGTCTAGTTGGAACATGAGATTTGGATGTGCACCTGGTTTAAAATTTCAGCTCTGGATCCGGTGTCATTACTGATGTCTGTAATCAAAGGTATTCGGGAGGACTGAGGTTTGAGAGTAGCTCAGGCAAATGGTTAGCAAGATCCATTCCCAATAAACAGGATAGCCGTGGTGGTTCATTTACAATCCCAGCAATGAAGAAGGCGTAGATAGGAGGCTCTCACCCCGAAACTAGTCCAGGCACAAACATGAGAGCCTATCTGCAAAAGAACTAAAGGCAAAGAAGAACTGGGTGCCGGTGGTTCAGGCAGGTAATCCTAGCCATTCAGGAGGCTGAGTCTGGAGGAAGGCAGTTTGAAACCAGCCTGGGCCGAAAAGTTTGAAAGACTCAAATTTCCAAAATAACAAACAAAAAGCAACGCCGGGGCCCTGGTTCAAGTGGTAGAAGACCAGCTAAACAAGCAAAGAAGCTAAACAGGTCTCCAAATCCAAACTTCTCTCCCTCAAAAGAAAGGTAACTCTACCATGTACTATCAGTGTGACTTTGCATTAATTACTTAACTTCTGTAAATGCCAGTTTTTTCATGTGTAAGAAGAATCTGACTTATTGAATTGGAACCTCCTTGTACAACTAATGAAAATCAAAATAAAAAGTACAAAAAAGAAGAAAAGAAAAACCAGGGAGGAGGGTTGATCGTTTAGATCAAGTGAATGGGGCATCTGATAGTGTGATCCACAGCGAACACCATCTTTATCTTTATCTTTGGGTCTTGCAGAGGCAGGGGCATTTGGAAAAGAAATAAATTATAAGATGTATAAATCTTGGTGCTGTTAATAAGTTGACCAGAGTAAATTTATATAATGAGTTGCCCAAGTAAGAGAAAAGAAACTACAAATATTTTTACCTTATGGGCTTTAAATGCATTGATTACTAAAGGTTAATAGGACATAAACAGGTCATTGCCATCTAAAGACATTTCTACTAAACTGTTTGCTGTTAGGTTGAAGGAAAACTGTCCAGTGGGGTTGTGAGAACTTGAGTTTTATTTTTTGAATGTTGAGGCGAATTTATTTTTCTCTCTTCCCCTCCCTTTCTCTCTTTTTCTCTTCCCCTTTGTTCTGTCTTTTTGTTTCTCCCTCCCTCCCTCTCTCCGTCTCTCTCTCTCCTTCCCCCCTCTGTCTCCCTCTCTCACCCCTCTCCATCTCTGTCTCCCTCTCCCTCTTCCCCTCTCCCTCTCCCTTTCTCTCTCTTTGTTTAATTTAGGAACAAACTTACCAGTTGTAGTTCTTTAGAGTAATGACCACTGGTACAGAAATGTTTTATGTTCCTTGTGACACATTTGTGTCAGTGTATATTCTTGTAATTTGCTATATTAATGGCTCTAAAAGCAATTAATTAAATCTGTTTAGCCTATTAGAAAAAAATGCACACTAACTCTACAGCATGGGCCCTGGGCCTTGTGTCATTTAACACCAATGTTAACCTGACATAAAACCTACATTAACCATGGGCATACTTGAACTAGAGGACAATTAGTTTTTGCCTCTCTGTGCTCAGCCTTGGGCTGTAGCTAAGAACTTAACCCTTGTGTGATGTGGTCAGTAAATGGTGACTCTTGAAGGGAATGTCAGTTCAAAGCATTTCCTATGGATGTCTTTTTGTGATTCGTTATTCAATTATTTATTCATTAGCCATAAAGCCAAATATTCTCCTAGATTTATCTGGGTAAAATGTACATTTCAGAAAAATTGCACTTTATTTTTGTTTTCTTTCTCTTGTTTGTTATTTCTCTGGTCACAGACCTCACCCCAGTTAGAATGGCTATAATCAAGAAATCTAATAACAACAGATGCTAGAGGGTATGTGGCCAAAAGGGAATGCTACTATACTTTTAGTGGGAGTGTAAACTTGTTCATCCACTCTGGAATGCAGTATGGAGGGTCCTCAAAAGACTACACATAGAGCTCCCCTATGACCTAGCAATACCACTTCCGGGCGTTTACCCAAATGATCACAAACAAGGCCATACTAAAGCTACCAGCACAACTATATTTATTGCAGCATTATTTTTTTTTTTTACCATAGCTAAGATATGGAACCAACCCAGATGCCCCTCAGTAGATGAATGGATCAAGAATATGTGATATATAAATATATATATATTATATATACACACACATACACACACACAAATGGAATTCTATGCTTCCATTAGAAAGAATGACACCGCCCCATTTGTAAGGAAATGGAAAGACTTGGAAAAAATCATATTAAGAGAAGTAAGCCAGACCCAAAGAAACATAGGTCCCATGGTTTCCCTTATTTGGACTGTCTTATTTAGATAGAGATGCTAATGTTTGAAGAGACAAATCTAGAGAACTAGAGCATGGGGCCAACTTCTGAGTAGTAAGGGAATGGTTACTCTCATAATGTTGTGATTTGCATTGTTCTTATTTTTAATTGTCACCTACATGGATGGGATGCAGTGTGATGTTTTGATATATGTACAGATCAGAGCAATTAGCATGTTCTTCTTCTCAAGCATTGATCATTTCTTTGTAGTAAGACATTCAGTGACCTTCCTTCTAGCCTTTCCACAATGTGTGCAAAACATTGCTGTTAGCTCTTCTGACTCAGGAAGAATGATGGGTGTGTTTCATAAGCCCAGACCTTCCATAACATTCCTTATTTCCTTCTTATATCATTAACTTAAAAAGTTACACTTTTCCAAGACATGATTTATTTATTGAGTTGAACAGACTTTCTAATTTAGGTTTTCAACCTTAATATTCACATTTTGGATGAGAGAGTGTATGAAGAATGCACTGGTCACATTACGGATCTATTTAAGAGAGAATCTTAATTATTCATGAAGACAGTCAGACCTGTTAACCTTCTTTATATCCCTAGATCCTCAGCATTCTGGATCATTGACTTGCCCAGTGTCATGCTGATATCCAGACCTGGCTATATGTAAGATTGTGCAGGGTATGTTATCAAAATACTAACCCTCCAAGGACCTCCCTCTCCAGGATATTTTTGTTTCATAGGTCTGGGCTGGAACCTTGAATTCTGAATTTTAGGATGGTCTCTGAACAATTTGTACCCAACGAAACTGGAAGAGCATTGACAGTAGGTAGGCCTAGTGTAGTCATGGGGAAGTTGGTGTTTTGCATTGGATATTTTATTTCCTAAGTACATGTCCATCTTTCAAGATGTGGAAGAACCAAGCTCTGGTCCGAGTGCTAGGACCAGAATCCTAGGGACTCTGGTAACTCTCTCTCTCTCTCACTCTCTTTCTCTCTCTCTCTCTGTTGGTTGTGGGAGCTTCAACTCTGGGCTTGGGCACTGTCCCTGCGCTCTTCAGCTCAAGGTGAGTGCTCTACCAATTGAGCCACAGAGCCACTTCTGGTTTTCTAGAGATAAGAGTCTCACGGAGTTTCTTGCCCCGGCTGGCTTTGAATCGCAATCCTCAGATCTCAGCCTCCTGAATAGCGAGGATTATAGGCGTGTGCAC